AAGACAGCCCAGAGTCGACAGAAATCTTCCGCCGATCATCATCGACGAGATATTCATTTTGAGGTTGGCGAGCACGCCTTTCTCAGAGTTCGTCCGGTTCGCGGAGTAGTGCGACTCGGCAAGAGAGGGAAACTGCACCCTCGTTTCATTGGTCCGTTCGAGGTACTCGAGCGAGTAGGCGAGGTCGCGTATCGTCTAGCCCTACCTCCCGAGTTATCAGGCATTCATAATGTATTTCACGCATCTATGTTGCGTAAGTACGTGTGCGACCCCGATCATGTCATCCCTCACACATATATTCAGGTTCAGCCAGATTTGTCGTACGAGGAGAAACCGGTAGCTGTACTAGACCGTCAGGTTCGTAGGCTCCGGAAGCGAGATATTCCCCTCGTGCGCATTCAGTGGGATCGCCACGGAGCTACCTGGGAGGAAGAGTCTGACATTCGCGCTCGTTTCCCAGACTTTCAATTTTGATGTATATATTTCCTTATCTTATGTACCCAGTTCATGTATTCAGCTATGTTTTGAATTTCCGAGGACGGAAATTTTGTAAGGAGGGAGGATTGTAATATCCCGATATTTTATCGGCATAAATTATATTTTAGTTCCGATATAATAACGTTATCGATTATTATTTTCGGAATTAATTATGTTCAGTCGGAATTACCGAAATCTATTTTCGGCGTACCGTTTACGTTCGAAATAATTTTGGTAATTAAGCATTATGTTTAATTAGATAATTAAACATAGATTAAGAGGGATTAATGTTAATTAATCACCAATTAGGGCATTAGTCGTGCACTTAGAATTTTCCTCCAAAAATGTTAACTAAATGCCGTGAGCCTTTCTTAAGCTAAGGGAAAGGTATTTTAGCCAATCAAAAGTGATCACTTGTCAAGCAAAGGAGATGCTTAGTCATCTAAGGAGTTAGGAGAAGAAGGCAAGTGTCATTAGCTCAAGAAGCCACATCTAGCCTAGGTGGCCATCAACTTCCACGGCCATGTATTTAAAGGAGACCTTAATTCAATTTTCGTCACTTTTCCTTAAGAGCTGAATCTATACCTTCAGTACCTCTTAGTCT